ATTGGTTCATACAATTCATTTAAATTGTTCACTTATAGAATTAGTTGCCCTATTTGCCCAATAAGTGAAATTTCATTAATTTTGTTTGCAGTGTATAAATATCTTGTGTGAACCAACCTATTTCTGTAATTGAAAGTTTCAGTATGTTGCATATTATACATTTGTCCATCTGTGAATAATCAAGGCTATCCATTTTTGATAAGTGGTCTGTAATTAGCATCTAAGTTGTTTTATTTTTTAAATACAGCTTTAAAATGCTCAGAGATACCCCTAATAAACTCTTCCAAGTAGGCTATTATTTGTTTCCCAGTTCTGTGCCTCTCTTGCACTGATAAGGCATAATTCAAATCCAACTTTTCTTAAATTTCTTGCAGTGTTTTTTTCATCCACCAGATGTGCGCAGTTGAGTAATTTTGGCTCAGTTTCAGGGTGGTGATGTCAGAGCCACTGGATTGGAAGATGAGATCTCCTGACATTGTGTCATCAGGGTGGTGGCCATTTCCTCCCCTCCCTCCTCCCCCTTTTCCTGCCCCCTCCCTTTTTGCTGACCTCATTTCTCAGGAACAAAGAAAACAAAGGGGGGTGTTCCTTTTCCTCAGATAAAGGATTTTGCTTGGCTGCCAGAGCATCTTGTTATTCCCATCTGTTTCTTTCTTTTTATAGTGCATTTCCCATACCAGGAAGCTTTAACAGCATCCAGACTGTATTTTAGAGAGTTAAGTGTAATCAAAGAGATTTATCAGCTTTATCTTTGGAGTGGTGGTGGTGGTGGTGGAGAGTAGGGAGAAAGATCTAGTCAGAATTTAAAACTCTTATGCAGATTTTCCATCTGGTACCTGAACAGTTGTAAATTGTTTCACTTTTCCATATTCCATTATGGAATATATTGGAGATAATTAATTACAACATGTGCTAGGCTTTTTATTCTGATACTGTAATACTTCACTTTGAATTTTCTATTCAAAGGGAAGTTTGCATTTTAGCCTTCCATATAGTTGTATTTTACTTAAACCCCACACGTCTATATAATGGCTTAGGTTTATGACATTCTCAAGTTCACACTGCAAAATGAAATGTGTAATTTTGCAATTTTCCTGGGTAATTCATGCAGGCTAAATTGGGAAAATAAATTTAAATTTATTTCTGCAAATCCTAAATCTGAAATTCAGTAGAGACATTTAATGCTGTCATGTGGCTCTTAAAAGTCTTAAGCATTTTCAGCTGGACCTACAGTTCTTAACAAGAATTTCCATGAGCTCGTATCACTTTCCAAACTGCTCTTGAAATATAATAATATCACAGAAAGCCAAAATTTGGAAGTTGAAATAATAATCTTCCTATTCAAATTCAAATTCATGATACATAAATACTGCATTTATATAGCATATAATAATAAGTCTCTACAATATTGTGTGTAATATTTAATCTGGCAGAGTTTAAACATAGACCTTTATGGATTATAATTGCAGAAGAATTTGTGGCTCAAAAATAGAATAGATATAAATCAGAGAGAGTGATTTTACAGATTTCACATTTACTATCAGGTCTTCTTATTTCCATTGCAATTTATGCTTCTCAATTCTAAAGCATCTCAATGCCAAATCAGGTTTTTTTTAAAGCACCAGATGGTGCTATTGCCTTATTTTACTATTCTCTATCTTCCTTTGCCGCATTCAGCCATTTTAGGGAGGATGTTTGCCTTCCCTTTAGACTCCATTTTGTATTGATGGCGCAGAAAAAAATAAAATTGAACAAAGGAGGAGTCTGCAGGAAGAAAACCATGCTGAGTCAAAGGCTGCTATTATTTGATGGCTCTGCTTCCTGCTTTTTTCATGCTCACTCAGCAGACACAGGCCAACAAGCAAGCTTTATTTCATGAAAAGTAGTATTTGTGATCAATAGCAGTTAAAAATTACATTTAGCCACTCTGAACATTTTTTTCTGTCAAGTCAATGCTGACAAACCAAGCAAATGGTTGGTTTCTTTTCATTCATATCTTTCAGTTATTTTTCAGGAAAATGATTACATGTCAGACTAAATCTTTTGCTATATTTAGCTAAGGAAAGGTATGAATCATAGTGGGGGAAGGTTTAAGGAAGCAACAAACAGAAAGTAATAATTATCAGAAACAGATTATTGGTAATTTTTGAAAGTAAAAGATGCTTTCCCATGAATATGACGACATATTAATACATTGTTTTATTTAGTTTTGATATGCAGCATGTGAGCTCCCCTCTCCGATTCATATTTCAGGTTTTGCTATCAGGTAGAGGATATAGGGGCTCTTAATCTCCTTTTATTGATGGAAAAACTGCATCAACACTGAGTCAAAATTCATTATTGCAATATTTGAGAGTGATCAGCTTATTGTAATAGCCAAAAACCCAGAGCTCAAACTATTGTTTCTTCATTATTGAGTTTAACTTCAGGAAGTTACTGTGACATGGACCTCAGACATTATTTTCAGAAGAGCTGAATATGCTTTCTCAGGTCTATTTCAGTCTCTAAATTCAGGTTTTGTGTTTTTTTTTAATCTGTTAATGAACCAAATTGTTTTCCTCTTGCCTTCATTAACTGATTTCAAAGGAGTAACTCTATCTTTTGGAGAGGAGAAAAATAGAAGGCAGAATATAATTATTTCCTTAGAGATGACTGAACATGAAGCACCAATTTATGTGTGACACAGATATTATTACATTAACTAGCTGGTAAGCATAAGTAACATGATGAGAAAAAATAATCCTTATTTAATCCATGAGAAATTGTGTTACATCTAACGAATGCTTGAATTCCTAGTTACATAAATCTGTCAATTCCTTTTCTTGTTAATATAATAGAGCAGTGATGGCTAACCTTTTTGCTATCGCGTGCCAAAAGTGGGGGGAGCGCGGTGGAGTCACACGCATGCGTGCCCACATCCATAATTCTATGCGCCCCGCCCCCCCGTGCTCCCCTCGCTTTTGGCACGTGATGGCCCGGTGGGCATGGTAGGCCCGTTTCTTGCTCTCCCCATGCTCCAGAGCCTTTCTAGGAGCCTGGGGAGGGCAAAAACGGCCTCCCCCCCCCGAGGCCCTTTGGAGGCCGGAAACAGTGTGTTTCCTGAAGGCCCGAAAATCAGATGGCTGGCGCACGCATGCGTGCCGGAGATGAGCTCACGTGCCCACCGATATGGCTCCGTGTGCCACCTGTGGCACCCGTGCCATAGGTTCGCCATCACGGTAATAGAGTATATACTCACATCTAACTGCTAATATAGGATTTGTCACCTCTAAGGCAATTCTTTTTTTATTAACATTCCTCTTTTTCCTTCCTTTCCCCAACAAACAGCTGTGATAATATATCTAATAGGATTATATTCCATGCACTTGATGTGGTAGTTTGTGATTCATAAAATTTTATGTAATAATGTATTTATTACTCTTCAGAGTATGACAAGGCAATTTCTAATAACTATGGTCATGACTGTGTCATTCTTAATGAGCTGGTGAATCTGTGGCCTATCTACCATTTCTCAGGGCAGGTCCAAACTCAGATAATAGATATCAATATGTTTTATCATGTACTGTATTTCCTGTACATAGAAAATTAAACTGGTTAAATGGTTCCCTCCCGTGTAGTTATCTCCATGAAGGGAATATTTTTATCCATAGGGGCATTTCACTTTGTATATTCCTGGCTTTGTACCATTATTGCAGGTCATCTTGGTAATTATTTGTGATTCTAATGCCCCAATTTGATATATCTTCCATTTGTACTTTAGGGCAAGATCCTATTTTCTAATTATGCTGTGCCTCTTTTTTTCTATAAGGTTTATATCCTATCTAAATTGCTTATCTAAATCTTATCCATATTTTTTAAAGTTTTTTTTTATTTTGATTTTTTGAATGTACATCAACATCAGTATCAATACACGAACAGTGCAGTATCTGGGTATCATTCATTTTGGGACAAATGACACTAATAATATTAATAGTATTTGTTACATTAATCAAATTCATGAAATCCTAGTATTAATATACATATTTCTTTTAAAGTAGTTATTCAATATTTCAATGTTCCATTTTAATGCCAATCACAATATTATTTGAGTTTACATAGTACTGCCCTCTTTCAACCTCTAATCTTTCCCTCTAGTTATTGCTTTTATTCTATTGTATGAAAAATATGTGTGCTAATATTCCCCCTATTTCTTATTTCTGCCTCTATTCCAGTGGTGAAATCTAAAATTTGTTACTACCGGTTCTGTGGGCGTGGCTTGGTGGGGGTGGGGGTAATGTGACTGGGTGGGCATGGCCATTTTTTTTTTTTTACTTTTAAAACCATTTTTTCTACAACCTCTTCGGCGAAGAGTTTGTAACTGACAATCCCAGCTGAGTTGCCTGATCATCAGAGGGTTTTTTAAAAACCCTCTGCCGATCAGGCAACTCAGCTGGGATTGTCAGAGCTTGGATCGTCAGAGGCATTTAAAAGAAAAAAAAGCCTCTGATGATCGCGCGGCTCAGCTGGGCATGGGAGGGGGGCAGGGATTTTTGCTACCGGTTCTCCGAACCACCCGCCTCCATCGCTACCGGATCGGGCGGTCCGAACCGGGAGCATTTCACCCCTGCTCTATTCTGGCTTCTAGTCAGGCCACCATTAGTAATCCTAGTGTTAATACACTTGTTTATATTAAGATATAGTCCTTTATTATTATTCAACGTTTCAATGTGCCATTCTAGTGTTGTAACGTAGTCCTTTATGTATGAGCACATAAATGGATCAGTTGCTGCTTTCAAATAATAAATGGGAGAATAACAGTGTAGTTTTGTTTTGTGAGGGGAAGTTTGAAAGATACCTCCTGATATTAGACACACCTATTATAGCAGGCATACCTTATCTTTTTATCACTCTTAAAATCCTTTCAGTGATTAAGAGATGCTCTGAATTTCTTTGAGAAATTGGTAACTATGGACAGTTCTGTTGAAATTATCTGGGTCGCTATGATCTTTAATTCTTCACAGCAAAAAAGCAACCTGAGAGTGGAGAGGAAAAGAACCAACCTAAGAAGAAAGTCAAGGAGCTGAGAGTGCTAGATTCAAAAAATGCTCAGAACCTTTGTGAGTATGATTTGATATGGTTAAGGAGAAATTTCTTTTTTTTAAAGTTTTTATTTTTATTTCTCATAAACACATTTGCATGTACAGTCATTTCCATCGTTTTTCATTCATCTTTTCTTTTAATTTTAATTTTTACTTTTTTGTGGCTGCTCTTTTACCCTTTACCTTTACTCCAACCTTTCTTCTTCTCCTCCCCTTCTCTTCCTTCCTGTTTCTCCTCCTACTTCCTTCGTTCTTCCTCTCCTTCTCTTTCCTACTTCCCCTTCTCTTCCCCCACTCCTCTCATCTTCCCCCCTTCTAACCTTCTCCTCTGCTCCTGTATCCCCTCCTTTTCTTCCTCTCCTTTTCCCTTTCTTCTTTCTCCTCTCCTCTCCTCTCCTCTCCTCTCCTCTCCTCTCCTCTCCTCTCCTCTCCTCTCCTCTCTACACCTTCCTCTCTCTCCTGTTGTTTCCCTTTTCAGTTCAATCTAAAGTGGTATTCAAGGAGCCCCGATTTTCTAATTATCTTTATTCTCATTTCAATTTCTTATTCAATTATTATTTAATTTTATTACATCATTTGCATACATTTTATGATATCTCACTTTTTTCCTTTTTACCCCCCCCCCCTTTCTCCTTTTACTTGACATCATCTGGGTATCTATTTTTCTAATTGTTTTCTCCCATCTATTCTCTATCTAATTTATCTCTATAGCCTTATTCATATTTCTTTTCTAACCAATCATAAAATTTATCCCATGTCATGAAATACATCGACTCCTCTTTATCTTTTATTCTCAATGTTAATCTATTCATTTCTGCACATTCTAAAAAATTTTTTATAATTCTCCTTCCAATGGGATTTTATCTGCTTTCCAGTTTTGTGCAAATACAATTCTAGCCACTGTTATTATATGAACAATCAAATATGTATCTTCTTTACTATAATTCTCTGGTAAGATTTCCAATAAGAATATCTCTGGTTTTAACTCTATATGTTGCTGCAACATTCCCTCTAACCATGTTTGTATTTTCACCCAATATTGTTTTGTTTCTTTACACAACCACCACATATGATAGTATGATCCCGGCAACTGGTGACATTTCCAACACTTAGCTGATTTATCTTTAAACATCTTAGCTAATCTTTCTGGTGGCATATGCCATCTATAAAACATCTTATACAGATTTTCTTTATAGGCTGTTGCCATTGTTAATTTCTTTCCCAAATGTGTTGCCATTTCTCCAATTCTATAGTGTATCCAAAATTCTTTGCCCATGCTATCATTGTTTCTTTTACTTCTTCATCCTCTAGTCTATTACACAATAAATAATTATATAATTTCTTAATCATTTATGCTCAAATACTACAATGGATTGTATCAACAATAAATAATAGAAGAAGATGAGAGAGAAAAATATTTGAAGAAATTGGAACTCTCTAGAATCCCGGAAAAGTTCAAAAAATCATTAGAAGAAAGAATATCTATGATGGAATTAATGGAGGGAATTAAAAGACAGAAAAATAGGAAGACACCAGGCCCATGGATTATCGGCAGAGGTATATAAAACCCTACAAGATGTACTAAGCAACGTGATGCTGCAAGTATTCAATGAACTATTACTTAAAGCTAAAATTCCGGACTCATGGATGGAGGCATATATAACTTTAATACCAAAAGAAGAGGCAGATCTGCAACAGATAAAGAATTATAGACCGATATTTTTATTAAATGTGGATTATAAGATTTTTGCATCGATCATGGCTGAAAGATTAAAAAAATTAATAAACGAGTTTATACATTTGGACCAAAATGACTTTTTACCAAAAAGACAAATTAGAGACAATATGCGAACTAAATTAAATATGCTAGAATATTATGAATTACACTCAGAGAAACAAATAGTGTTGTTATTTTTAGATGCACAAAAGGCTTTTGACAATGTGAATTGGCAATTTATGATGAAACAGTTGAAAATTATGGATTTTGGAGACAGATTTATAAATATGATCCAAACAATATATAGAGACCAAGCGGCAAAGGTGATGGTAAATGGTGAAATGACAGAGAAAATAGATATTAGAAAAGGAACAAGACAAGGATGCCCTTTATCTCCATTATTATTTATATTGACATTAGAGATTTTAAATAGAAAAGTGAGGCAGGAAAAGGAAATACACTGGGACCTCTGCCACCCTTTCTCCCAGATCTCTGTTGCTATGGCTGCATGGATTAGGAGTTTTCATCGATCGCCTTGGACTCCCCCTGCAGCCCGAAATGGCCATTGCCCCGAGATGTCAACATCCGCCGCCGTGAGAGGGCGGCTGTGGGGTCTTTTTCAGCTGACCCGGCCCACGCTGCTGTGAGAGAGCACCGAGGACTGGGATCGCCGGCCCTGGGGTCCACCCAGCATTTTACATCGACCTTGTCTTGGTGACAGGGAGGCAAGGGTTGTGAACATTGTATGCCCTGGATGTTGTGAGAGAGTACCGGGAGTGGCTGTTCCAGAAAGCTGGGTTGTGTTTTGGCCTTACACCTATTGTGACATTGACTGTTCCCCATTTGCCGTTGCCATATCCGTTCCATGGCTGATGAAGGCATCTCGAACTTATGCAACCGCTGAACTGCATGCCCTCAGGAATGCCCCCCATTCCTGGGTTTGGCCGACCAGCCTCGCTAAGAACTGCCTTAAGGACGGGTCCTGGGATCCCGAGAGGTGGCACAAGAGCCTTAAGGGTTTTACTAAAGAGGCTTTATATAATTTTTTATGTAAATTTTTAAGGAGACTGGGGAGGGGGGAGGGTTGTGATTTCTGGCAGGTAGTTGGGGGGCTCCTCTGGATCAATGTCAGTCCAGGCCAAGGGAGGAGAGCGGTGGGGCTGGAGCGGGGATGGGGGCCGATGGCGCCCCAAGGGAGAGGATGGGTACTTCGATTCCGGTTGCAATTGGGAATGGAGGCAGGTGGATGAACAGAGGGCCATATCGGTATTTGGGAGTGCGCCCCGGCTATCTTCGAGCGGTGGCGTGCTCCAACCCTTCTGGTTCTGTCCGACCGCCCGGGGGTTTGAGAGAGAGGGTCCCTAGCCTTAGGCTGGTTTATTTTAATGCCAGGTCTGTGGTTAACAAAGCTCCCCTCATCCGTGAGTTGATTGAGGAGGAGAACACAGACCTGGCCTGCATTACGGAAACCTGGTTGGGCTCGGAGGGAGGAGTCCCTCTGACAACTCTGCCCACCAGGTTTTTGGGTGCTACACCACCCGAGGGCCCAGGGCAGGGGTGGGGGAGTGGGAGTTGTTATTAGGGAGTCCCTTGGTCCACGGGAGGTCACTTTTCCTCAGATAGACAGGTGTGAGTCCCTCCTTATGAGAAGGGGTCCGCAAGGGCAGTTGGGCCTGTTGATTACGTACCTATCTCCCAGCTGCGTATCAACGGCCCTGCCCGGGCTGCTTGATGCTCTCTCGGGGCTGGTGGTTGAGTTCCCTAAACTTATTGTTCTGGGGGACTTTAATCTGCCGTCCCTGGGTGGAGTTCGGGGGCGGCCCGGGAGTTCATGGCAGCCATGGACCTGACCCAGATAATTCAGGGCCCGACTCATGAGGGGGGCACACCCCCGATCTTGTTTTTATCTCGGAACAGTGGCGTGATGATCTCAGTGGGGGAGTACCAGTTATTCATCCCCTGTCATGGACCAATCATTATCTCCTGCGGCTGGGCTTCCAGAATGCCAATCCCCCGCTGAAATGCGGGACCGACCATCTGGTTCCACCCCAGACACCTGATGGATCTGGAGACGTTCCAGACGGAGCTTGAAACAATACCTCTCTCTCTCTCTCACGCCCCAGTTGAGTCTCTGGTGGATGCCTGGGAAAAGGCGGCCTCCGGGGCACTCGACCGTGTCGTGCTTTTGCGGCCTCTGACTGACACAGATCCCAGTTGGCTCCTTGATTCACGGAGGAGCTCCAGGAGATGAAGCACCGTAGGAGAGGCCTAGAGAGCGGTTGGAGAGCCGAATCTGACTGTTCCCAGTTGAGATCGTTCACACGATCTTATCTGGTAGTGATGGAGGCGGCGAAGCGGGCATACTTCGCCCTCATCGCATCCGCAGATAATCGCCCGGCCGCCCTGTCCTGAATCGGAGGGCGGGGGAGGATCCTTTGTGGGGACGTGCCGAGGAGTTTAGTCAGCATCTGCTGGATAAGATCTCAGATTCGGGACGGTCTGGACTCTGACTGGGCAGGGTCTGACGGTGAGGAGGCAGCTGGTCTGGGGATTTGGGAAGAGTTCGATCCTGTCACCCCTGAGGAAGTGGACAAGATTATGGGAAGGCTGAGTGCCACCACGTGTGTACTGGACCCGTGTCCCTCCTGGCTTGCTTATGCGGCCTGAGAGGTGACACGGGATTGGATCCAGGCAGTAATAATGGCATCCTTGGAGGAGGGGATCTTCCCTGCTGCTTTGAAGGAGGCAGTGGTGAGACCCCTCCTCAAGAAACCTGCCTTGGATCCAACCATACTGAATAACTTTCGTCCAGTCTCCAACCTTCACTTTGTCGCGAAGGTTATTGAGAGCGTGATGGCACGGCAGCTCCCGTTGGCCCTGGAGGATACAGACTATCTCGATCCGTACCAATCAGGTTTCAGGCCGGGATACAGCACGGAGACGGCATTGGTCGCGCTGGTGGATGATCTTTGGAGGGCTCGGGACAGGGGATACTCCTCTGCTCTGGTCCTCTTGGAACTTTCGGCGGCTTTTGATACCATTGACCATGGTATCTTGCTGCGACGGCTCGAGGGGTTGGGAGTGGGAGGCACGTTTCTACGGTGGTTCTCCTATCTCTCGGGCCGTACGCAAGCGGTGTTGGCAGGGGGACAGAGGTCGGCTATGAGGCCCCCTCACTTGGGGGGTGCCCCAGGGGTCGGTCCTCTCGCCTCTACTGTTCAACATCTATATGAAGCCACTTGGGAAGATCATCCGTGGTTATGGGGTGCGGTATCATCAGTACGCTGATGATACCCAGCTTTTTATATTCACCCCAAACCAGCCCAGTGATGCCCTCGATGTGATGTCCTGCTGCCTGGAAGCGGTATGGACTTGGATGAGGAGGAACAGGCTCCGACTCAACCCCACCAAGACCAAGTGGCTGTGGGTACCAGCATCTTGGTCCGATCGAGATCTTCCATCGGGGGTGAGGTGTTACCCCCTGTGGATAGGGCTCGTAACTTGGGTGTCCTCCTGGATTCACGGTTGTCTCTGGAAGATTATGTGACAACCGTGACCAGGGGGGCATTTGCCCAGGTTCACCTTGTGCGCCAGTTGCGCCCTTAACTTGGACCAAGATGCCCTACGCACTGTTACTCATGCGCTGGTCACCTCCCGTCTTGACTACTGCAACGCTCTCTACCTAGGGCTGCCCTTGAAAACCACTCGAAGGCTTCAGCTGGTGCAGAATGCGGCCACACGGGTTGTGATGGGAGCGTCCCGACACTCCCATGTTACACCCCTCCTGCGCGACTTGTATTGGTTACCGGTTGCCCTTCAGGTGAGGTTCAAGGTGTTGGTTATTACCTACAAAGCCCTTCATGGCCTAGGCCCGGGATATTTGTCGGACCCCCTGCAGCCAGCGACAATTCCCAATCGCCCGGTGCATTCCCACAGACGGGGCCTCCTCAGGGTGCCGTCAGCCAGACAGTGTCGGCTGGCAACCCCCAGGGGGAGTGCTTTCTCTGTGGGCGCACCCACCCTCTGGAACCAGCTTCCTTTGGGGCTCTGGATGGCCCCTGACCTTCGTTCGTTCCGCCGCGATTTGGAGACCTGGTTGTTCCGTAACCTGGACTGATGGGGGGTTTCTTAATAAATTTTAAATTGTTTTAAATTGGAATTTTAATTTTATATTGGCTTTTATGAGGAACTATGCATTTTACCGTTGTGAGCCGCCCTGAGTCTTAGAGATAGGGCGGCATATAAATTGCAATAAATAAATAAATATAAATATAAATATAAATATAAATATAAATATAAATATAAATATAAATATAAAAATAAATAAATAAATAAATAAATAATTAATAAAGGAATGAGAATTAAAAAAGAAGAATACAAACTACAAGCATTTGTGGATGATTTGGTGTTTATCATGGAAGACCCAATAGAGACAATGCCAAAACTATTAGAACAAATAGAAGAATATGGGAAAGTAGCAGGTCTGAAAATTAATAAAGATAAGACAAAAATATTAGTTAAAAAATATGAGAGAAAAGCAAAAAAAGGAGATGATGGAGCAACTGGACATCCAAATTGTGAAGAAAGTGAAATATTTGGGCATTTATCTGACATCAAGATGTGCAATGCTCAAGGAAGACAATTACTGTATCATAAACTGAAAAAACAAATTGAAATAGACCTGGAGAAATGGAGAAACTTGCAATTATCACTAATGGGGAAGAATAGCATTAATAAAAATGAATGTATTACCAAAAATATTATTTTTATTTCAAACTATACCAATAAAGCTGGAGAAAAAATATTTTGAAGAGTTGAAGAAAATAACGTGGACATATGTGTGGCAAGGAAAGAGAGCAAGGATCAACATAAAAATGCTACAAGATGCAAGAAGTAGCGGTGGGTTTGGCTTTCCGAATTGGGAATTGTATTATCAAGTGGCAGCGTTAACATGGATTAAAGAATGGATTTTATTAAGGAATACAAGACTATTGATATTGGAGGGTCATGATTTACAACTGGGTTGGCATGCCTTTTTATGGTACGGGAAACAAAGGATACATGGATACTTCCAAACACATTATGTAAGAAATGGTTTGTTATCAGTGTGGGAGAGAGTGAAAGAAAAACAATATTTGAATTACCAATGTGGCTTTCTACAATAGAAGCGGTGACATACCCAAATATTGTGAACATGGGGAATATTGTTAGATATAAAGACATTTTGACAGATCGGGGAGAACTGAAACAAAAACAAGAACTAGAGAGTCAAGGGATTGAGATAGATTGGTATACAAGACTGCAAATATAATCAAGATATGAAGCAGATCGTAGACAATATGGCTTCAACTTGGAGAAATCTGAACTGGATGAAATATTGACAAGAACGGATGAGAAAAAAGGAGAAATTTCTATCAATGAAAAAGCAGTGGAAGAGCTTGCTTCCAGAAGTTGTAAATGCTCCATTAACTGGAGGTTTTAAGAAGAGACTGGAGTTGTTTGGATTAGTATAGATTCTTCTGCTCAAATGGGTTGGATTAGAAGACTTCCAAGGTCACATCCACTGTTATTCTGTAATTCTGGTGGGAAAGTTTGCCTAAGTTACCTGTAAAAACTTTCAGAAATATTTGAATGTTTATTTGAAAGAAGAAAGGAAAAGTCAGGAAAGGTACATTTCTCTGATTTTAATATTTGGATATGCCAATAATTTGGTTAATTGTGCTTCTCTTTAAATGTGGCAGCAATTTTTTTGGGCTCCTTTCGTTTGCCTTATGAGGAAATCAAGAATGCCATCTTGGAGGTGAATGAAGCTGTGTTGACTGAATCCATGGTGCAGGTGAGAAAGACTAGAATGTGTGATCATATTTTCTCTCTAGAGTGTAAGTCTTCACAGCCAGTATCCATTAAGCTGAACTCAATCTTCAGTAATTCTGGCAACTAAAAAGTGCTTATTTTGCTATCCAGGATTGTAAGAACAGAGAGAGATTGTCAAGTACTGGCAGCCCCAAGGTTTCTGTTTGATAGATCATAAATTATTCAGGTTTGGGTATATAATAATCAAGAGATTTTATGATATCATTGGATCCCTTGTATTTGAATATTTGCTATTTAGAAGCATATCAAATTATGTCAAAAGGTTTAAAAGACTCATCCTTAGACTAGTTTTTCCTAGGTCAATATTATCATATTAAAAGCTATTCCAAGCAACTGTATCCTTTTAACTTCTTTCTCAGAATCTGATTAAGTTAATGCCTGAACCAGACAAATTAAAGATGATCGCAGGACTAAAAGAAGAATATAATGAACTAGCTGAGTCTGAGCAATTTGGAATTGTGGTAAGTGATTATCCATTGCAGAAGAGGAATCATATCTCTTTCAGAAAAGAAATTGATAACAAACCCACAATAATACAATGTAAGTTTCTCCCTCTTATTTATCAGTGTGTCACATCATTTGCTAGGACGTCCCACTGTTATGTCTACTATTTTATTCTAAATGCTTCATTTTTTTCCCCTTAGCTTTAAGTATAGTCCTTATGTTCTAACTATATGTCTCATGAGCTATTTGAAATTCTAAAATTTTATTTTGTGCTCTAGACAGAAAAAAATGAAATTCTGATTTTAGGATTTGCTGATTAGATTTATTTGTTGCTATAAAAATGGCTAGTATATATTCAGTATGCAAAACCAAAAAGTTGTAATTTTATTGCCTTTATTCTACTGCGCTGAAGAGTTGGAAGCTAATGTTTTTTTCTTCTTTTTTCTCTTTATCCCATACTTTTCTCTTCCCCTTTTTTCCTTCCCCCACTTTATTTTTCTTTATTTTCACTTATATTTTATAGAAATATACATTTTGTCTTTCACACTTCTGAAGCTTAAACAATAAGGTGATGAGTATACTGCTATTCAAGGGGAAACTTTAACAGTTGGGTCCAACACACTGGTCAAGAGAAGACCGTATACCTGTGATGGCGAACCTATGGCACGCATGCCACAGGTGGCACGTGGAGCCATATTAGTGGGCACGCCAGCTCAGCTCTGGGGTGCATGCGCGCGCCGGCCAGCTGATTTTCGGGCCTTCTGGGCCCACCAGAAGTAGGGAAACAGGCTGTTTCCTGCCTCTGGAGGGCCTGGGGGCGGAGTGGGGAAGGCCCGTTTTTCTTTCTTACCTGGTTCCAGATCCTCTCTGTGTATCTGGGAACGGCGAAAACAGCCTTTCCCACTCCCTTGGAGGCCCTACGGAGGCTGAAAGGGCCCATTTCCTGACTCCCGTGGGACAGGAAGTGACGTTTTTTCCTGTCCCCAGCCTCCAGAGACTCCTAGAGAGGTTCCTATAGACTCCTAGAGAGGCTCCTATAGACTCCTAGAGAGGTTCTGGAGGCTGGGGACAGCAAAAAATGTTACTTCCTGTCCCACCGAGAGTTGGGAAATGGGCCCTTTCAGCCTCCGTAGGGCCTCCAAGGGAGTGGGAAAGGCTGTTTTCGCCCTTCCCAGATACACAGAGAGGATCTGGAACCAGGTAAGAAAGAAAAACGGGCCTACCAGGCCATCATGTGCCAGGAGCGGGGGGGAGGGGGTTGCGCACGCATGCGCGTGGGCACGTGCGTGCGCGACCTTTCCCCGCCCCCCCTCCTGGCACGCGATGGCAAAAAGGTTAGCCATCACTGCCCTATACCATTCCAAACAAAAATGGTTAAAAACCTTCAATAATGGAGCACCCATAACTTCTGGAGGCAAACCATTCCATTGATTAATTATTCTCACTGTCAGGAAATTTCTCCTTAGTTTAGGTTGCAACTTTCTTTAATCTTCCACTTGTTACTTCTAGCTCTGACCTCAAAAGCTTTGGAGAATAGATTGACTGCCTCCTCTGTTGTCAGCTCTTCAAACATTGGAAAATTGTTATCAAGTCACTCCTAGTTCTTCTCTTCGTTAGACTAGACATACCCAATTCCTTCAACCATTCATCATATATTTATCTTCCTAATTGTCTTTGTTGCTGTTTTCTACACTCTTTCAAGAATCTCAACATCTTTTTTGTATTGTGACTAAAACTGGATGCAGCATTCCAAGTATGGTCTTACCACTGAAGTACAAAGCGGTACAATTCACATGATCTTGATACCTTGACCCATCTATTGAGGCATCCTAGTACAGTGTTGGCTTTTTTTTTGGCAACTGTAGTATAATGCTGGCTCATACCTAAGTGTTTGTCCACTAGGACACCTAGATCCCTCTCACAGTTACAGCTGTTGAACCAAGTACCACCTATTCTATACCTGTGCATTTGGGTCTTCCTAAGTGTAAAATCTTATTTTTTAGCCACTGAATTGCATTTTGTTAGATACAGCCTAGTGTTCAAGTCTGTGGATATCCTTCCAGATCAGGGGTGTCAAACTCGATTTCATTGTGGGACGCATCAGGGTTGTGGTTGACCGGGGGGGGGGCAAGGGGGCATGGCCAGCTCGACATCACTGTGGTGGCCCGGATGGGGCTGGGGGGATCCATTGTCTTCAGCAGAGGTAGGTGAGACCAGGGCAAGCGCCAAACCCTTGCCTATCAGAGGAGCCTCACCGTCCCTCTCAGGCCACGTGGAGGACCCCCGGAAGGCAGTGCAGGCTGCTTGGAGCCCTGGGCAGTGGAGGGCAAGCGCCCAGCCCAGCCCTTGAGTTCCCAGGGCACCGGGACCCCACAGCCCAGCCCAGCCCTGCTTCCCCTAGGGGGCGCTTGGCTGCGCTTACCTCCTCTTCAAGGCTGCTGCTGCTGTGCTCGCTCTTCTTGGGCAGGTTGCTCATGGTGTGTGGAGGAAGGCAAATTATGTGGGTCAGAGGGAGGCCCATTCCCTCTCCTTGCAAACTGGCTTTGTAACCAAAGCATCCTCAGCTATAGGATAGGAGACCACTAGGAGAGGAGGGGGCAAGGGGATGGCAAAAGGGCAGCAGGACTGCTGGTGGCCAAGTGCTAAGGCAGGTCTTTCCTGAGATTCTCTCTCCCTCTCATAATCTTCCTTCCTTCCTTCCTTCCTTCCTTCCTTCCTTCCTTCCTTCCTTCCTTCCTTCCTTCCTTCCTTCCCCTTTTCTTCCTTTTCCTTCCCTCTTAATTCTCCTTCCTTCCTTCCCCTCTTTCCTTCTTTTTCCTTCCTTGCTGTCTTCCCCTCTTTTCTTCTTTTTCTTTGTCTTTCCTCTTTCCCTTTCTCTTTTCCTGCCCATTCTTGGATGCTCAAATGCAAAAGGAGAAACATTTCTCAATGCCTCCTTGCCTTGTGATCAAATGCCACTTTTGCTAGTTGTTTGTGGCCAGTTAAAAGACTGAGAACAAACTAGACTCAGTTTATCCCATGCTTTCATTTAGTGGGGGTGTCCACAGACAACAGTACAGCAAAACTGTCAAAATGGTGGCTGTGATAGTTGATCAGAGCTCTCCTGTTTTTTAGCATTTAGCTTTAGCATTTAGGAATACAGCTTTAGCATTTAGGAATACAGGTAAGTTAGTTGCTTTTCTATTAGTACATAATCTTTAAAAGGGCTCTCCTGTAGGGACCCTGCATGGTCTAATTCAGACTGGAAATATAACAAAGGAAAATATTTTCCCCACTCTGCTTTGTCCTGTTTTCCCCAATGGAAATGGCTGTTCGTAACACACAAGGAGGGGATACTTTCATGAGAGCTCACAATTCAAGAATACCAATGTTAACTTGGATTGCCAACAAAGTCCCATCTGTGACAAAACAGAAAACAAAATTGCTTTCTCCTTTGAACCCAAGTCTCAATGGATCCAAGACTGATACAGAACTGCATAAACTGGGGCATCTCCAACCAAGTTGCCTCTCCTTCCTTCCTTCCTTCCTTCCTTCCTCTTTCTTTCTCTCCTTCCCTGCCTCCCTGCTTCTCATTCCCATCTTCTTCCTTCTCTGCACTCAGGAAGGGACGAGGGGAAGGGGAGAGATTGGCAGTGCTGCCAGTGGAAAGGGAATCCTTGCATGCTGCAGGGCCAGATCTGCAAGCAGGGCATGGAGGCTTGTGGTGGTCATCCAGGCCGGAATGCAATCAGCCTTATATCTGACCCGTGCAGACCTTGGAGCCAGCGAGGGGCCGCCCACTGCCTTGGCGAAAGGGAAGCCTCACGGGCTGTGAGGCCAGGCTGGCGAGCGGGGCATGGAGGAGCTGATGCAGATGCAGCACTGATCTACAACTTGTGGAGGCCATCCAGGCTGGAATGCAGTCACCCTTAGTGTCAGTCGTGGAAACCATCTTTTACTTTGGATCTTCAGGACTGCCACATTTAGTGCTGTGGGAAACTGGGAGGGGGGATTGTATGGAGTGAAGTGATATCTAGCATAATAACATTCATTTCTTTGAGAGTCAAGGATATCTTGCCCTGCACCTGGGGTGGTATGACTGGGAGCCATGTCCAGTTGGGACAGTGCATTGATTGGACCATGTGATGGACATGTGGGTGTTGGGGCAAGGACTTGAACTTTCTTTTGGGTGAGGAAAACCTGGAACCTTTCAGATTTGGGTTTTCTCAAATGTGCCAATATGACATCTGTCGAGCCCCAGATGGGTCTCGCCATTGTTGGGGAGGAAAATGAGAAGGGGCCGATGAGCGGTTGGGTGGACAAGCCGAGAACATCTCTAATAAAATGGGACTTTGAGGAACTTCTGGCCTCAGAGTTTTCTTTCGTTGGGGGTGTTACTTGGAACCCTGACATTTAGATCTGACCCATGAGGCTGTCCTGGAGCCAGCAAGGGACCGCCCCACCACCTCAGCCCTGCCCCCTGGGTGTGTGCACAGGAGGCAGCAAGGGCTGGCGTCCTGGGTGAAAGGGAAGCATTCAGAACATGGTCAACCTGAAAATGTGACTTCATGGCGAGAACGGCTGGAAAATAGCAGAGCTCCCCGGGCTCCCTGAAATGCAGCCAGCAACTGCTTGCTGGGAGACCCTATAGGGTTAAGCCTCCCTGGAGGGGAGGGGAAGAAAGGAGAGGTGCTTTGTCGATCGCAAGGGAAACACAATTTCCTCGCTGATCCAAAGAAAGCTCTTCGGAACAGCAGCAGGGACGACGGCCATTTTTGGTCAATCACAAGCTGGGACAACCGTGTTGTGGTCTGCTAGCAGCCTGCGGAGCTGGCAGCGGAGTTTGGACAGTAAAGAGGCTGGGGAGGAACATGGGCCAATCCTGGAGTCTGGGGAAGGCCGGGATGAGGGCTCTGTGTCGGAGGCAGAGATGGGGCCAGGTTCATCTGGGAGTGATGCGCAGACTCCGGAGCCCCAAGAGTCAGATATCAGAGAGGCAGAGGAACAGGAGGAGCCTGTTCCTAGTGCATGCATACGC